AAGTACAACCGTATGCAGTCAAAACATAAACAAACAAAATGTGAACATATCAGACGAAACTCTTACAGATTATAGCTTTCTCAGTAGGTATCACTATACTAAATTGAAGAAATATTTATGAAGACGATATCGAATTCGTCACTGAATTCCCATGTTTATTGGGACACCCTGTATAAGACAAGAGTGACATTTAGGGTTTGTGGTAAAAACTAAATTCCTTTCTGGCCTTTTTAGGTCTACTATAGTCAACAATTAGTCCCATTTTGTGAGATATTTCTCACATTAAGTTAATAATTCAGAACAACATTTTTGTAATTTCGAATTGGTTCGTTAGTTAGATATTATGAATAAAATGTTAAGCTTTTTTTTAAAATACAGCGTAACCCAGACGCTTCAACTAAATTAAGCAAATTGTGAACTAACTGCTAACCATGTTGTGCGCGTATCAAGCAAAAATCTAGCAGTATTTTTCCAATTACTCCTTTAAACTTAAGCTATAAACAAGCGCATATCCATATGTATTATGGGCTAAACAAAAGTATAAAAGACTAAAAACTACGATTATAAAAAGTTTATAAACAACTTTCATAGTTGTCGGATACTGAATAGTTATATTATATTAGTCATTTTGTAAAGTTAGCGACTTTCATCTTTAAACAAGAATTTAAAACTTTTTTTTATTTAAAGGGAGTGTTCGCGAAAAATGAAAGTGGGTTTAAGCTTACAGCAAAAATCTTACTTCTATCTGTTGTGTCTAAAAGGAGAAAATTGTTAAAAACGGCTAATGCTGAAGAACGTAGCGTCCATACAAATTCAGAAAGTTTCAACATTCCACTCGGATCGTAAAATAATCATTTTAATTCCAAACAAATCATTCAGATATTTCAAACAATAGTCATTGATAATTTTTCGACGCTATCGTATAAAGTTGATATTTCATGTTATTTCTTATTTTTTTTTGGATTAGACAGTTACTTTTGAAAACATTTATTCCTGTTTCGAGGATTTTTGATAATAAGGACGACATTTTCATATTTTCCAGGAATGTTCGAAAATCCAGCGCCAGAGAAAAATTATAATAAAAAAAATTAAATCAAAAATATAGTGAAATATTAACTATAAACGAATGCGTCGAACACTAATCGATGACTTTGTAATATCTGAATGATTTGTTTGGAATTAAATTGATTATTTTACGATCCGAGTTAAATGTTGCAACTTTTTGAATTTTTAAGGACGCTACGTTCTTTAGCATGAGTCGTTTTTACCAAAAGTTAGAAGTATGATCAGTAGCGATCAAAAGTGCTTATTTTTCGCCGTAAGCCTATACCCCCTTCCATTTTTCGCGAACACTCCCTTTAATCTCTATGTAATACTTATCTGCAGCAATTAGCGATAAGAAAACAAATGTATCATTTATCTACTTATTTATGATTTTTCCGAAAATAAATAATTTTTTTTATAGACCTACAAAAAATTTAAGCTTTAGCAGGATTCAATGATTTATATTTTAGCTTATCCGATATCCATGCACTTAAATCACTTATCAGGCGTTAACATAACAAATAAAAACTAATTTTAAAACACAACAATTAAAAACAAGGGAATTGGAGTTTGTGGCAAGCACCCAGCTCCTTTCAGATCAACTGATGTTCATCATAGCGACGATTTTAAGACAAAAGCTTTTTTTTAACCAATTCTGTAAAAAATTGTACTTTTTCTGAATTCCTTCAAGAACTTATCTACATAACTACAACATTTTACATTTTCTATTTGCATTCTACAGATAACCTTCCATTTACTTGTACTGGATCTATGAAAAATACTGAATATTTTATTTGAATCTGACGGATGATGGTTTACTCCCCCCCCCACCCCCTCTAAGGTGCATTAATGTATCAATTATTAATATTTGTAAAAGGTCAAAATGTCAAATTACTGAAATTTTTCTTCTTGTTCTTGTTCTTCTTGTTCTTCTTCTTCTTGTCCTTAACTTGTTCTTCTTTGTGTTATTCATGTTCTTGTTCTTGTTCTTGTTCTTCTTCTTCTTCTTTTTCTTTTTTTGTTCTTCTTCTTTTTGTTGTTCTTCTTGTTGTTCTTCTTCTTGTTCTTGTTCTTCTTGTTCTTCTTGTTTTTCTTGTTGTTGTTGTTGTTGTTGTTGTTGTTCTTCTTCTTTTTCTTCTTCTTCTTCTTCTTCTTCTTCTTCTTCTTCTTCTTCTTCTTCTTCTTCTTCTTCTTCTTATTCTTCTTCTTCTTCTTCTCTTTACTTGAACTCAATATCTTAAGAAATATGATACCGTCTGAACACAAATTAGTTTTAAATATTTTAATTAAATTGCATCAAATTCTTAAAATTAGTGCTCTTTTAAGATTTTAAATTCAAATTTACAAATTTTTAAAATCTTCATTCTTTTAAATTTTGAGACGAACAAAGCTTATTGAGATGTTTCCAGGAATAGTGAGACTAATCTAACAATACTCTTTTTACTATTACTTGAACAAATTTTAATTAGTTTCCAGTAAACCAGCTTCATTAACCATGGCTAGTTTACCCCGAAAGAGTATTTTTATTGTTTAAAAATTTTATTGTTTAAAAATTACTTTTTATATTTTGTAAAGTCTAAAAGATTTGTTTTCAGAATTTAAAAAAGATTTATGTTATTTACAGCCAACCTTTTACTCCCCCCCCCACACATAATACCCCTTCAATCATTACCCCATCCCCTGTAGTCTCCCTCCAACCTCCCTTTCTCTTATCTTCGCTCCTCCATTCTTTACCTTTCTTCTAAACTTCTCCCTCCAACTATCTTCCATCCCCTGCAATCTTCTCCCTCCTTTTTCCTTCCCATACCTTCTCCCTCCCTACCCTCTTCCTTTTTCTTCCCAGACCTTCTCCCTCCCTTTTCCTTCCCATACCTTCTCTCTTCCTCCCCTCTTCCTTTTCCTTCCCATACCTTCTCCCTCCCTCCCCTCTTCCTTTTTCTTCCCATACCTTCTCCCTCCCTCCCCTCTTCCTTTTCCAACCTTTCAANCCTCCCTCCCCTCTTCCTTTTCCTTCCCATACCTTCTCCCTCCCTCCCCTCTTCCTTTTCCTTCCCATACCTTCTCCCTCCCTCCCCTCTTAGTTTTCCAACCTTTCAATTCTGATGAGTAATACTAATCACTAAATTCTACATTGTTAACTTTACTTTATACCAAAAACTGCAAGATCATCAAAATTTTTGCTTTAATCATATTTTCTTCAGATACTGCTGAATTTTCAATTTGCTAAAGAAACGTCGAGATAATGACTTCTTTTCTTGCTTCGTTTATGAGTCTTCAAACTGGTTTTTGATTCAATTAATTTTCAATTCAATTAATTAATGATTTTTACTAAAATTTTCATAATCTTTTTTAATGAGCTTTTGAAACAATGGATTTAATTCAGATCTTTTTAATTAGGGACTGCCATTGTGATTCCAAGTGAGCTTAAATTTAAATAGGGACATGCACGATAAAAACGGTAAAAATAGAAAAAGTTATTTTCCATGCTAAAAATGTATTTAGTTATGACAATTTAATCCTTTCTTTTTGCAACAGAAATCTGAAAATCACTTAAAATAGAGAAATTACTATTAAAAATGTAAATTTGTAAGGTGTTCCATTTTAACAGTAAATTATAAACATCATGCAACCTCTCCTGCCTGTTTACACGGACCTAAGATAAAATAAAAATACTTCTGGTCCCCAGTTAGATTATTAAAAGCCCGGAAAGAATTAAAAGGAACTCAATTTTAAGCTCCCCTGAAAAAATAGGAGCCTGTAGTGTTTTTAGTTTATGTTTAGTAAATATTGGCAAAAACAAAGTTATAATGCAAGGAAAGTTATTTCAGGGGTGTACCCATCTTTTGTACTTCAGTGTAATGTCTCTGGGCGGAAATGTAAGACGGATGTCGAAGTCTGAAATAAGATCCATCTTTCACATAAAAAATCAACGAAATATTCTGGTCATAGGAAACTATTATGTGAATTATCAAAATTATCAAAATTTAATGCTTTCAAGCTCCTCGGATACTAATCGAACACTGATGCATCTATTCTTGTTTACAACTTCCGCCAAAAGAGAACTGGTTTCAATATGTACGCAGAGTATACGCAACTGCAATTAAATTTCCTTGCATTACAACCTTGGGCAAAAATGATTATGGGAACCCTTTTGTTACATTTTTATAAAAGGATCGGGAACATTTTAAAACAAGCAACATTTTTTGGAAACATTGTAAACTCAAAGGAGTTGATTCTTTACCACAATCTCAAATTGTCTTATCCCTATATTTTTGCAACCTAATTGTATAAACCTTTGATATTTCAAACATAGATGATTTAATCTAAAAGAACTCATAATTTGAAATATCTAGTCTACAACAAATTGGGTTGCAAAGATATAAAATTGTGTTGTTCAGAAAAACTTGTTTTGTTTATTTTAAACGAACTTATAAAAACATAAACGAATGATTTTAAATCGTTCATTTAGATTGAACTTGAAATTTTTTTTTTTTTAATTGAAAAAACTTTCTTGTCAAGCAAACTTTTAAAAAGGATCGTTTTTTACTGAACTAACAATTTTGCACCAACATTTTGAAGACAAAAACTAACGAATGATTTTTTTAAAAAGCTTTAGAAAACAAATAGGATGTTCTTAATGTACGAACAATTTTATTGAACAAACATTTTTACTGAGAAAACAATTTGACTGAACAAAAGATTAAATTAAACAATTACTCAGTTAGAAAACGAACAAAATCAATGAAAAATAATTCTGAAAACGAAAGAATTAAAATGTCTTCTGAATGAGTAAAAAGAAAAATGGGTAGTTAATCGACGATGAACGAAGGAATCGACCAAAAAGTTTAACCCAACCATCTCTAGCGGCAAGGAGAATCTTATCGTACTTGTTGATCAAGCAGATTTTAAAAATAAAATACTGAATTGATAAAAACAAAATGATTTGATGATCTCAGGCGTGTATTTGTATTCACGTGTGAACAATTGTTCTAAACTGTACAACTGTAGTGAAAACTGGTTCTTCAGCTATTTGTACACCAGTGTTCAAACCAGTTTCCTATTCTGCTCAATCTGTACTAAAACCGGTTTTGTCGTTGCAAGTCAATTGTACAAAAAACTGGTTTTTGCGTAACCTGTTCAGCTGTGGCCAACTGTTGTTTATCTGTAGAAGTAGAAAAGCTTCACTAAAATAGAATAATCTGAAACTGCTCAGCTAACTTTAGGTAGAAAACCATGATTAACTAAAAAATTTGAAATATTTTTTGTTTAGCATTTTTGAATTTTTTTTTATGTGAAAATTAAAATTAAAAAGGTTTGGTTTGTATTAATGGATTTTTATTTTTTTAATATAAACTTTCCGCAAAAAAGAAAATGAAAATATGTAGATCATATCCTTGTTAAGTCTAATAATGTATATATTTCACCTACAGTTGTTCCTTTTAATTGAATATTCTTGTTTTATTTTGAATTTTCTAGCACTCAACCTGGAGATTATATTGACAAAGAAAACATCCTTTTACTCATAATATTTACTCAGTTTCAGTTCTCTTCATAACAACTCTAAACCAATCCTATCCCCCGCCTTTCTAACCCTATTCCTTTCATCTTTCTACCTTTCAATTCCTTTCACCTTTCATCCTTTCATTTCAGTTTCCTTTCATTTCTATTTATTTCATCTTACTTCCTTTCATCTCTCTTCCTTTCATCTCTCTTCCTTTCATCTCTCTTCCTTTCATCTCCTTTCTTTCATCTTTTTTCCTTTCATCTCTCTTCCTTTCATCTCTCTTCCTTTCATCTCTCTTCCTTTCATCTCTCTTCCTTTCATCTTTTTTCCTTTCATCTCTCTTCCTTTCATCTCTCTTCCTTTCATCTCTCTCTCTTTCATCTCTCTTCCTTTCATCTAACTTTCTTTCATCTCTCTTCCTTTCATCTTTCTTCCTTTCATCTCTCTTCCTTTCATCTCTCTTCCTTTCATCTCTCTTCCTTTCATCTCTCTTCCTTTCATCTCTCTTCCTTTCACCTCTCTTCCTTTCATCTCTCTTCCTTTCATCTCTTTTCTTTTCTTCTCTTTTCCTTTTATCTCTATTTATTTTATATCTGTTCCTGTCAAATCTTTTCCTGTCATATCTCTTTCTGTCATATCTTTTCCTGTCATATCTTTTCCTGTCATATCTCTTTCTGTCATATCTGTTCCTGTCATATCTCTTTCTGTCATATCTTTTCCTGTCATATCTCTTTCTGTCATATATTTTCCTGTCATTTATCTTCATTTCTTGTATCTTCTTTACGTATCACTGCTTTCTTTATTTTGCCTTTTTTTTTCTTTCATCCCTTGACGTTAAACTAGTCTTCTTATTTCTTATTTTCCTACTTACTTTACACCATTTTTTATCCTTCCTTTTCTCTCTTTTCTCTCTTTTATCTTCTTTTTGTTACATTGTTAACTCTTTTTAACTCCGTTTTGTTATTTAAGATATAATATAGTAAACAGGGTTTCCGCCTAAAAGAGAAATTCTTTTCGCTGAATTTTTTTTTTTGGCTTTTTTCGCTAAATTTCACTTTAATCTGATTTGCTTAAAAAATACGATATTTTCGTGAAAAAAATAATTGTGATAATTTCGCGAAAAAACGCGAAACTTTTGAGGGAAATATGTGAAAATTTTGCAAAAAAATATAGAAGAGAAATTGTTAATTATAATATAATAAAACTTATAATAATAAGTAGAGAATTTTACAAGTTTTTTTGTGCAATTAGTTGTTGCAGCTACGGTTTTCGCGAAAAACTTTGCGAAATACGAATGAAAATTTTCGCAAAAGTTTTATCTTTTTGTGTTTGAATCTGCTAATTTGTTTGCCAATATTTTTAACATTTCTACGTCTTTGATCATGAAATCTTTTTTTCTTATGATATTTGCGACAATTTTATGGATGAGATATTTAACAAATAAAACAATTTACAGATATGACATTTGATAGATGAGACATATGGCGCATGCGAAATATGACATTTATGATGAAATACAAGAAATAACTCCGTAAAAAAATTGTCTTCAAAATTATGATTTTCTTTATGTATGCAATTTAAATTTTATTAATCACAAGAAAAACTTCTTATTTGTATTTAATTCAGTAGAAAATCGTATCTTCATTCAAGTAAAAAACTTGACATAAAACACCTTCATATATTAAATTTTAAAAATTTAAAATTCCCGGAAAAAAAACTTCTTTAAAATTATGTTTTTCTTTATGCATTACAAAGTTTTTCCAAAAACATTTTTTGAGTGTTCAAAATTCATGACTTACTAGTTTCAAAGATCCCTTCAGCAACATTTTTCTAGAATTTTGAAATCTGAGTTTCTAATAAAAGTTTGTAAATTAGTCCTTAATATATATATATATTCTTTTACCGTGAATAGCAAACTCTAAAACTTTTCCCTCCAATCAGATGTAAATAACCCCCCCCCCCCC